TAAAATTTAATTTATTTTTGGACGAATTTTTAGAATATAGAAGGATAAAATTGTGATACTAGAAGTGATTTGAGGATAAAAAAATAGTTTATTAGGGTACGAGAATTTTAGAAAAGAATTTGGAAAGTTAAATGAGGCATAAATCTTAAATTAGTGTTAATATGGATTATAGATCTAAGACTTTCTAACTATTTAAATTAGAGTTATTTATTTTAATGTAAAATTAATATATAGTATTGTGAAATAATTATGTAAATTATATTGACAAAGATAGTGGTGAAAAAGGAGTTGTGAAGGAGAACTTGTTATTCAAGACACAAGGTAACCATTATTAATGTGTTGTGATGGATGTGTTTGTGAATGGTTATGTGTTGTTTTATTGTTTGGAAAAATTATGAATTATTGAAAATAAATATTGTATATACTTGTTTGAAATTATTGCCAAGTGGGTTAAAAATTTATTTTTGTTTATCATGATGAGATATTATTGTTCGGATATATTCCTGTTTGGATATTTGAATGATGCATGACTTGTCAGGGTATTTAATGTATGGTGTTAATGGGAATTTCTGTTCGGTTAATTATTACCACGTGGTAAGCCCTCATTGGATCCAATGATTGGCGTGTCGCTTGGTCCAACTTACCTTTGGCCGGGTGATTTGGCGTCCGAGCATGGTGAAAGGAGGATATAAGGTGCAGTCATGCAATTAAATACTTGTTCGGTTTGTTTGAAAATATTGTTCGGTTAAATGTTTTGTGTGCCCACTTAGCAATCGCATGATTAGTTACATCTACATGCATCATTACATATTAATTTTTGGTTACTGGGACTTTTAAGTCTCATTCCCAGTGGTTAATATTTTTACAGGAGCGAATCCGGCCGAGAAAGCACCAGAGGTGTAATTATGGTGTATGAGACACCATCTTTTACGCTGCCTCTTATTTTGGATTATACAATGTATCTTGTGCCAACTTAGGACATATCTTGTCTATGGAGCATGTAAACTCTAATCCTTTTTATTAAATGCATTTATATGTCCAAGAGGATTATGTCTGTCCCTTTTGATTCATGACCTAATTTGAATAACATGCTATGAGGATCATGTCTGTTCCTCATAGTTTTAATTACTTTTTGAGATATTTTAAGACCTGTGGTATATTGTCTTAGATGTATCATGGTAGAAATTTTTCTACCATGATAAGGATATGATAAGGGTTCAATGAATAAAAAATGATTTGTTGAATTAATAATTTGCGAAAAATCGGTTTGTAAAATTGAGGGTGTTACATTTATCACAATGACCATTACCTAATCATCATACTCTATATATCATCTATTCATTAATAGCCCATCATGTGCATGAATTTTCCTTTTCATTCACATATAATTAATATCAACTGCTCACCCTTGGACATCAAAAACACAAAGGAAGACCATAACAACATTCAAGTTCTCAAATTAAGAAGATAATAACTATTTCCACTTGTACAAATATTTTGGCCTGTTAATATAGCACAAGAATCAAACCACATTCTTCAGGACCCAAAATACATTTTCCCTAACACAAAACCTATAATGCAAGTGGATCAAGAATATATTATCCTAGTTGGCAATATCATAAACTAAATACATATATCAAAATAAAAAGAAAAAGGCCTACAGAAGTGATTACTATCACTTGGCCTATTGCTCCTTTCCTCTGTTCTTTTGAGATAAGCTAGCTCTTGTAATATGTTAAAAGAGAGGGGTGAGTACAACCACTCAGTAACCAAGGTACATTTGAGTTATACAAATGTATGATAATTATTTATGAATGCAAGTGGCCAATAAATTTATCAAGGCGACCATGCAAACAATCACATTAATAACATGTTAATCACATTAACATTTAACTCATGTGAATAATTTCAAGAATAAAGTCAAGTACAAAATTTACACAAGTGGCCACATATACATTATTCGCATAATTACTACATGTTCTCATTTTTATAATTATAATTATATTCTCAACATAACCATCAATCACTCATATAGCATGATAATAATAATATGCATGATCAATCTCTCCCTTATATCCCCCTTTATTTCCTTTGATATGAAATTCGTGGGCCAACAACCAAAAGGGATCGTCCATGTAGTGAGACTACCCAAGGCCTTAATCATATCATGAGGGGCTACCTGGTTAAGGTTACCTTACTCACTTATGAATACGGTTTCCCCCAAATCACACACTATGGGGTGTCATACCCAAAACTCCAGGTAGGCCAGTAGGGTCAAGTCCCTTAATAGGAACAATGCCACAGTACCTTACAAGATAAGTAGTGGTTATAACCCCTAGGATTATTGGTTAATAGCCAACTACCATATAAATTTTGCATAATCACTAACTTTTTCACTAAGGCGAACTCCCACCATATGATCATACTCATGAGAAAATACATTTCAAAAGCTCATATATATAATTCACAATTATCCCACATGCTCATCAACTTTCTTGCTTAACAAACATCAAGAATCATCATATTTCAATCATGCCTCTTACATTAATTTTTATATTATCATATAAAACTACATTAGCATCATATAAAACTCAACATGCTCATATATAACTCATCACTATGCATAATCCACAATTTATAATCAAGGATGTACACATCATCATCAACCATGAATCTCATTACTCACACCAAGTCACAATTAACTTGATCACAAATCCTCGAGTCTCAACTAAGCTACATGCATTACAAATAACCATTTCAAATTTTATATATATATATATATATATATTCTTTTATTTCATCAACATAATTAATTAACTAATGTACAAATGCATAAAAATAAATTTTTCCCAGTTACCTCAACCTTTGAGAGGTCAAATGTTACCACTCAAATTACAACACTTTCAAAGCTTTTCAAAGTTTGAATGGTGTCAAAAGAAAATTAATCTACAATTGATCATATCTTAATGTGTCAATAATATTATTAACATAATTTTCACTCATACTCTAACACCTAAGTATTTATTTTATTTTATTTCATTTTTTAAGACCTTAGTCTTAGCCTCTTGAGTTCTAAAATTTAATTTCATGTATTTGAACCTATCTACTTGGTTCAATAGTCTCCTTCACAATAATTTCATTCAAATAATTTTCTAATATCAAAATTTTTTTTTCCAAAAATTCGCACATAAATATACTCAAAAATTGCAAACTTGATTTCAAGCCTAGAATCATTATTCTATAGCAACAATAATTTATTTCTCATCACAAATAATCATATAAATATCAACAAATCAATTTATATTTTTAAATTTAACCAAAAATCTACCCATAAGAATCTAGGGATAAACTCAAATGCCTCAAATTCTAATTCTATTAACAAAATAATACTCTAAAATATTTATTACACTACCAACAATCCCAACAACCAGATTTACTCATCAAAAATTTATTCCTTTTTCAAACCCTAGATTTTTTAAAATCTCAAAATCTGCAGCTCAAAGAGAAAAACGACTAAGAAAAATATTTAGAACACTTACCTAGTCTTAGAATACTTAAAATTTCATTTGAAGTATCTTATTATGAAGCATCACCTTATAAATCAGCTCTCATCGACGACGCACACTCGCTCTATATCCGTTCTCTCTGTCGTGCGTGAAGAGAAATGAGGAAAGGGAAGAGAAAATGAGATCAGAAGGGTGGCTGTGTTGTTTTGAAAAAAAAAAGTGTGAGTCCCACGTAATAATTCACACCCTACTTTCTCTTCCTTGTTTTCTTCAATGCACACACGTGAATGAAATTCATCCGCCTTCCCTTTCTCTATTTTTTTTTACATTATTTACACCTCAAGACTCACACAAAAGCAAAAATTACTTCCCTCCCCCTCTTCAATTTTCAATTTTTTTTTATGTTTCTTTTCCTTGCTCTTTCTTTCTTTCTTTTTTTTTAATAATATTATCATTACTATTTCTATTTACTATAAAATCATAACTTAGGATTTTAATCTAAATTAAATTCACTAATAATCTTCTAACTAAAATTATTTATATCTAAATATTCCTCCAAAATTACTCGTTTACTCTAAATTAACTTAATTAACCTTAGATTAATTTTTAGAATGTTACACACTACACTTTATTAATAGTTTTAGCTGCAAACTAATACTCTAAATAGTTGCAAATAAGAGGATATTAGTTGACGTCCTCACCAACTCATAAAATTTGGTAACAAGCTCTGTTTCTTAAACCGCATTAGTCATAATGTCATTTTTATAATAGGAAGTTTATGACTAGAAAACAAAGCAAATTGAGGGTAACAAATTCGGAGATGAGGAAGACAAACAAACTCTAGTTCTTCAACTTATTTTTAGATAACAAGAAAATAACCAGTGCTTTGATTTCTTGACACGAATGGAAAAAGAAAAAAACTTCTCAACAAGCATGATTCCTACACGCGAAAATATTGCCACAACAAAAGTTAAGGATAGCAGTAAAAAAAAAAAAAAAGTAATTCAATAATTACTCCATTCTCCCTCAATTACGAACTCAGATTGAAAAAGATAATGAAATATTCCCTCTCATCTTTCAGTTTCACACTACCCTCCTTATCTCACAACACAGGGACCTGTCATACTATTTCCTAAGCCCAACTACAATGCAGTAATGATTGAAAAGCGTAAGATTGAGCTTCAATGACATTTGTTAGAGTTCTTTCTATGAGGGCACAGCACATAAGATCAGGGATTTGGGTTGGAATTAGTTGTCGTATTAGGAAAACAAAAAACAAAAGAAATTGTGACAACAGCTCATAAGGGCATTAGAGTCTTTTCCCTTTTCATCATATGATCACTCAAGGACCCATGGGACTCTTTAATCATTGCAGAATTTCTTGGGACTTTACTGTAATTAAACGTGTATCTCGGGACTTTAGTGTCATTCCTCCTTCAAACCATCGGCGTGTCAAGCCGGATTGGCGAAACCGCAGAAGGTTAGAAACGATCTTACTGGGTTGCCAAATGCCAATATTCTTCAATGCTCGTCGTCATCGAACGACGCCGTTGAGATATGGATAAACCCAAAAGGGGGTCGTGGCCTCCAAGTCCATGGCGACACTGACGGTGATGACATTGCTCGCTTCCCTCACAACCTCTCATGTAATGATTTCTCTCAATTGCCTTCAACTAAATTCTACCCCTCTTCATCTTCTCTCTATATGCTTATGCTCTTTCCGTTCTACAGTTCTTCCCCATTAGAAGAAGTTGGTGCAGGGACGCTATTGCGAGTCCCAATGGCAGAGGCATCTATCTTCACCACATGCAGTATGATCCGTGGGGAAGGTTATTTGATTGTCACTGTATCTCTAACTCTAGTGGAAGCGCCTTTTGTTTTAGCTGAGAATTCGGCTTTTTATAAGTTTTGTTTTTCGCTTGCTTTCCAGCTTCAAACTCTCTAATCCTCGCTGGGTAAATCTCGAAAGCTTTAATACCGCAATTTTGGCTCTTAATTCAGGTACCTACACCATCCACATCATGTCTCTACCAATTACGCGTTTCGCTATATTACATATTGCGCTCTTGTTTGCTATCTTCGCTTCTATCCCATTGATATTCTGTATTCTCCCCCCCCCCCCTTGTAGGTTTCGAAGCATCGATTACTGATTCAAGTGAAAGTTCGGCAATCTTAAAAAATGCCAAAATCGTTGTAGAATCTGAAGATGGAAATAAGCTACAAGTGAGCATGCAAACTCTGATTTAGAATTAAAATTGCTGTTCTCACTCGTGCAGGAAATGATGTTACGTTCTCGTAAACTTTCACGTGTGATTTTCTCCCAAATTGTTTATTCCTTTACTTCGATGCTCCGCTACTTTCAAAATAAACTCATTGATGAAAATTTCTCGTCTGTTTTGTTGCCCCTCTACCTACTGAACTGTTGATGCCTTCTCCATATATGGTGAGTAGGATGTGATTTATAAAATGATTCAATTTTATAAAATGATTCAATCCTTGCTACGGAGAAAACATATTATTGCATTGTCGTGATTCTTGAGCTGGGGAAAAATTCCTAATGAAAATTAGCAGGTCCTATTGTCCAGGTATCTGGTAAACTTGAATTAAGGTACATGCTTACTTGATTTTGGTTCGTGACGGGACTCAAATATCTTATATCTTCTGGCTTTTATGATCTTTCAGTCAAAGAGCACCGATGAAGTTTGTCAAAAAAGTTGATAACCCACGAAGAAATCCTTTGTAATTTAAGAATCTAATCTTTGTATTTAGATTTTCAGCCTAGCCTTCCTGTTGGTATTTACTTTGTTTACTCCGTATTTTTCATGCTAACCGGTCAAGATAGAAGCTATTATTGCCGTGCACATCTTTATGCGATTGATAATTATGTGATCTGCAGCGTCAAATATTCACATTGTGGCTGCAATAGAATTCTGTTTTAAACCTTTGCCTTTTTGTCACAATTAACCTTAGTGAAATGCATCGTAATAATCAGATGAAGACATTCATGTATGCTTTTTCTTGTAACATCCTATTATTGTTATTAATATTGTGACAATATCTCAAGCAATTCATATAATTGGCAGCTAAGAGTGGACTTGACTGGGGATCAAACACAAAGGGTATTTAATCATGTCCTTACAAACTTAGCTCGCACTGCCCCACCAATTCCAGGATTTCGACGACGAAAAGGAGGTAATTACTGAAAGATGGATTGACATTGATATGCAATGGGCGTGTCAGTCAGTTGCTGCATTTTTCTCTCCCGTCTCCAACGTAGGATTTACATTCTGGCCTTTGTTTTTCTTTTAACCTCATGCGCCGACTGGCGGAAATGCCCATTATATGAGCATTAAGGCATGAATTTCTTGTAGGCTCCCTCGATCAAATTATTATTGATTTACTTTGAATAATATTACTGTTTGAATTACTTTGGTTAATGTGATTTTTTGCCTTGAACTTGTGACCCAATCCCCTTTTGCTCGTAATTTAGTGTTTCAGCAGTTTTAAGAACGTGTTACTATTGAATGCTTACTGAATTACATTGTGCATGTGATGTGGGAATTGCTCCAGGAAAGACATCCAAGGTGCGTTACTTCCACTTTATATTAGAATAATTATTATTTATTATGGTGCCTGTCATTATATGTAAATTACTTTCCTGTATAGGGTTTATAGCATCCATTGAAGTATAATTACCAGCTGCTCAGACTATCTATTTTTTATTAACCCAACTTTTTATATCAACCCTTGGTCCCAAGTTGTCGCTTGGCCGGTTGGCTGTCCCTGACCAACAATATCAGTGGAGGTCTTGTGAACAAAAAATTATTGCAATACAATTATGGAACAATCTGATATATGTTGTAGTGTTCTGTCAGATGATTCATTTTGGCAATCCGTGCAGGTTCCAACCAGCTTTCTTCTGCAGATGCTTGGTGAAGAACGCATCACAAAGTTTGTTATACAAGAAATACTCAATTCAGCAATGGCCGTGTATGTGAGAAAGGCAAGTGATTAGTATTCCATACACTGTAGTGATGATATAGTCTCACACTTTTGATGATCCGACCCTATACCAGGAAAACCTAGATATGAAGGACCAGAATGTAAGAACCATTCAAACTGCAGACGAACTTAAACAGTCATTCACGCCAGGAAATGAATTTGGCTTTAGTGTTATAATTGAGCCTCAGAATTCATAAAAAGTCATGTCGACATGATTCTGTCTCGCATGCCCTTTCACTTGAGTCCGATAGCAGGCGGATTGCGCATCTATTGCGTGCGAGGAAAAAGTGGCGATTCAAATGCAGGTGGCAGAAATCATGCAATCGACTCGCCAAACGTTAGCTTGGACGTTACTCTAGAAAACATTGTTGCTGCAAACCTTGCCATGTTTGTGGTGCTCTGCTCATACGAATTAGGTGATGTTATTAGTGTTTTTTTTTTTTTGGGTTCTCTTCAAATGCGAGATTAATGAATTTTTGCGGACAGCTTATATGGTATAATTAAAAGATATTGGAACACAAAACGGCCCTAGCATGTGTTGTAGCGATAATGAATGTTTAGTATTGAAATTTACGGAGGGTTCGTATTTAAGGAAAGTGCTTATGTTGGTGCTGCCCTTGCCACACAACGCCATCGACGTTATCAATCTGACAATCTAATTTAGTCGGGCCTAAGGCTAGAAGCTTCAGTTCTGTTCGCGATTCTTATCAATTCTCATGGCCAGAACTAGGTACAAAGGATATAATTCAAGCAAACTTGGCAAACAAAATGGAATCTGGGGAATAGGAACAATTAGCATGTTGATTTCCACACCAGAAAACTTAATGGTGTGTTGGCTATATGTACATAAACAAATAGAGTAGATGCTAATCTCATGATGTTCCAGAAATGGAATGTCATCTTGGAAAAATTCCTTCATTCTTACTCGGCATTTCACCTTGAATCCAGCTTTCTCCACAAATGAAACGTTCTCCTGATGATAGGATCAGCGGAAAAGCCTTCTGCATAGGCGCTGATAGCTGTTAAAAGGCCCTTTAATCTATCGCCATTGTCCTGTATCAAAAAAAAAAATTACATAAATAAAACCTTGTATAATCAGGCATTATAGAGTAATAATACTTGCATTAAAAAATATTATTTAGGTTGACTTTGGAAGCAGTAAACAAACATTGCATTAGATTGCGATTCTAGTCAAACATGCCTGTGCACCATTAATTAAAGATGCACCTGATCATTTTATTATGACAGTTTCCTTTTCCTCAAAAATATTCAAATAATCATCTGCAAATATTCACTCCAAGTGGCCCGTCCCCATCCATCTTTCCGAGGCCATTTACTTGCATGGTTTAACTGTCACTGTCAGAGATAGCAGCAAACTCTCGGGACTACTCAACCAGAATTTGCACTCGGACTCAACATATGAGAAAATAAGTGACTCCGGATTTTGTCACAGATGAAATTATGGGCCAAAACTTGCTATCCATATGATGAGCTTAAAAGTCTATATAGTTGAATTGATCAGAACACAGCAAAACTTTCCATAAATATATCTAAGAAAACTCAACCTCTAGACATTATAAAGCACAAACCTCTGGCTTCTTAAATGAGAGATCAGTTGTAGTAAACGGTACCATATAGAATGGAAGATCAGAACGCAGCAATGCCTGCATTGGTAAGACAACTTAGTAGATTACATGACAAAAATGACAAGAAAAAGCGAACAAGGGAAAAAAGAGAGAAGAATATCAGGCTAGAAAAGTATACCAGCTCCTTGCTTAAGAGAGCCTGATCAGCATTTGCAATCAACGCCTACCAGGGAAATGGCAAAATAAATAAAATTTCAATGCATTGTCGTGATAAAGGAATTATAGGAAGGTGATTCTACTCAAAATTTACAAAGCAAACCCTCTACTATCAGTCATACAGTTTTAATTTATAAAGTGTGAAACTACACTGTAGAGTCTAAAACGTAAAGTTAAACAATATCAGGAATGTTCCTAGGGAATAAACAATGATTCTATTAGAAAGCCTTTCTTTCTATCACTCGCCTTTAAGGGCCTGATTGGATGAACTACAGTTGGCATTTGAAAAGCACATCCTGGTATCTGAAATGTTGAAAGCTGTTTGAAGATTACATAGGTAGGAAAATGTGCTTTTTGAAAGTACTTCATAAAATAGTTTAGATGTGGATTTGGCAAAGTAACTTGGGAAAGAATTTCAAAAGTAAATTTGAAAAGTAAGATGTTATTTGACCATATTACCCTTTTTATCTATTATTCTTTCATTTAAAAAAAATTAATTTGTTAAAAATATAATCATCATTTAAATAACAATAAAGGTTGGTTTGATTGGTTAAACTTTTTTTAAAAAAAAAACTATCATATATAATTTTTGAATTATGTTAATGTATGTTGAATTATTTATTATATAATTTATTCAATATATCAACCTTTATAATTTTTATTTTTATTATTTAAAATATCAAATTTTATATTATTTAAAAATTTTATCACATTTTTAAATATTTCAAATATATTTGTATAAAAAAAATTACAAATCATCATAAATCAATATTCTATTTAGTAATTGTACATTCAAAAATACATTTCATTATCATAATCTAAACAACTTTCAACTTATCAAATTAACTTTTGAAAAAAATGTATTCAAACATAAATTTTGTTACAATAATTAACTTTCACTAAGCTGACTTTTGTCAAATAAACTTTTGACAAACTGACATTTGGCTAACCGAAAACTCAACACTAACCATGCACTAAATCTTCTATTATCAGCCATACAATTGTACTTTATAAAATGTGAAACTATACACTCTGCAGTCTAAAATGCAAAGTTAATCAATACCAGGAATATTCCTAAGGAATGGGCAATGAATCTATTAGAAAGTCTTTCTTTCTGTAATTTGCCTTTTGTATTCCAAAAAAGAAAAGTCCTTACCTTCTCAAGGAAATGTTTGAGAGTTTATGAGGGAATGGCATGGTGATGATTGGAATGACAAGTCACGGGCCATTATAACAAGTAGAATGTGATTCTAGCGAGTTTTTAGCGCAAGAGTATATTTGTTATAGTACTACTACCACCTGCCAATTCCATTCCATCCTTAAGCCCCTAATTTGAGGGATGCAAAAATTGGAGTTTTAGATGGCAAGAAATGCCCTTGGAACCATTACTTGCCATTCCTCTCCATCCTTAAGAAAACCCTCCAAACAATGGAACATCCCTCTTTGGCTATTCCGTTTCATTCCTTGCCATCTATCCAAACACACCCTAAGATAACAATACTGATCTTAATCCAACCACTGAAATAATACATCTAAATACTAATTGCAGCAAGAACCCTTAATAATCTTGTAGTGTCACGTGTCAAGTTCCAGTGAAATGATGTTAAACATGAAACATAATAACACGTGTCCACAAGGGCATTATAACTAATCGAGGATACCTCTTTAATGCGTTCCTCACTTATTTGGTCAACACATCCCAACAACCTCTCCAAGGTACCTGCGCATGTAAATGATAAATTACAGCCATCCACATAAAACTATCTCACCCACATTATGAAGAAGGTACTCATTTTAATTTCATGACCAAAGCTTAAGGTTGCAAAGTACTTTCTCAAGTACTAGAGCTTAATGCACTCTAATGAACAAATACCAATGAAATAATGCATCTAAAATCATAATTTTCATACTAGTGGGAGTTTAGATAGTCATGGACATGTATTTCAACATTGTGTATGAACCATGCTGATAACTCTTCCAAAGTGTTCTTACAAGTTTGGCATTCTAATGCTTCCACTTTTAATCTAGTAACATATATTTTTGAAGAGGAAAAAGAAATAAAGAACAAGGATCAGGAAAATAATTAATTGATAAAACAGGTGAAAGATTGATCTTTGATTCTTATGTATTCTCTTTCTCCTACACCTAGTTTTCTTGGATACCAACTTTGAGCATTATCAAATGGAGGAAGCTCGGAGATAGTAAGGTGCTTCAAAAAATTAAGACAAACTCTTTCACTAGTTGAGTTTGCAGAAATAGGAGATTGATGGATACCTAAGTGGAATGGGAAACCCTACCCCAAAAGCTAGCTGATGCAATGGGAAAACCAACCTACTTATATACCCCATTGAACATCCCATACTACTCAATGTATGACTTCGCATCCCATACTACCAAGTGTCCATCAATTAGCCACCCATGGAAAGCCAACGTCCCAACAGCTGCGCTCCACAGCACTTAACTCAGTTTCCTTCTGGTCATAACCTTCTATGGGTAGCCCTCTCCGGAGTTGCAGACAACGAGACTCTGATACCAATTAATGGTACTTAAGTGGAATGAGGAACCTACCCCAAAAATTAGCTGTTGAAGTGAGAGAATAACCCATTTATATACCCCATTGAACATACCATACTACTTAATATGAAATTTAGTATTCCATACTACCAAGTCTCCACCAGAGACCCACCTTAGTGGTTAAGTTTGACTTCTTAAGATGTGCGATGTCATTAAATGCTTAAACAATATCTCATATACAATTTTAGAAAATTTAACCCAACATGTCAATTCAACCTTTTGGTAAAGCAAAGAAAAATTAGTCAAAACTCACCAAATTTACTGATCAATTTCGCAGCATGTACATCTCCAATTCCATCAACCCCTGCGTTAGTAAATTGTGGAAGGACTAAACTTAAAGACCCAGCTTGTATAAATTGGTCAAACAAGTATTCTCCTTTTTACAAACACTATTATTCAATGTATTTAATAATAAGGGGACTCTGTGAAAGTGAATGACCTCAGCAATGTTGATACTAAAATGATGCCCAACAGATTGCATAGAACAGTCAAACAGGTGTCTGTTTAAGTGATTTGCATGATGATGAATTAAATCAGTGAAGTCAGTAATTAGATTATGTTTATTTTATTTCACTCTTACTATAGGCAGCATGCCTTGCATGCTTAAAATGTGATTAGGTACTGATATCTCATATCTGATGAATACAAGATCCTAATCCATCCCCTTTGATGTCTATTTTCTAAATGTAAAATATCCCCATTTATACCTCAATTTGTGCAAAATTATAATGATTTGATGACTTAATTGTATGACTTCAAAATATAATTGTGTTTAAAGAAAATAGGTGGAAAATAATGCCCCCCCGGGGGGGGGGATCATGTACATTTAATTTCTTTTATAACTCTTCTCTCTAACTAAAACTAACTATAATAGTGATTATAACCTCCCTTGGCTTTAACTCCTAACCAGGTGATTTATTATTGTGATCAATCCTATCCACTTACAAGATTGAGCTAATCACTCTTCTTTTTAATGTCTTCGCAAAATTAGGATAGCAATCTGTTACCTTTTGATTTACAGTTGGCTGAAAAGTAATGAAGTGCAAGCCTGGGTTTTCAAAAGGAAACGATCTTTGACATAGAGAAGCAAAAATAACCTGGTATATTGTCAGATCTGTCACCAGAAAGGGCAATCATATCAGCAAACTGAGAAGGTTTCAGAGCTCCAAATCGTTTTGTGAATTCCTCAACTCCAAATGAAACTATCCTGTTGAAAAGGGGGGGGGAAAAAGTAAAATTAAAGCCAAAGAATCTCAAGATTGAACAACTGCTTCAGTTGGCAACAGCAACCAATCATCCATATAAGCATACATGTTACTAAATTATTAAAACGTGTTTTAAAAATTTCTAAATTGATTTATGGGGAAGTAAATGACTGAATAGTATCCAGCATGCAGCATGAGCGATAAGTTTGTATATTTTGATGCATTATTGACTGACACAGGATGCTTATGAAATCTTGAAGCTCAAATTTTTTTGTAAAGCATGAACCAGAAAAACCGGTTCATCAAAATCTTTATATAGCCAATTGTAGATCTTCTAATAGAGCATGTCCAAGGATTTTTTTTTTTTTTTTTTTTGAGATACAATAAGGACAAGCAAGTTAGGGTAAGATAAATGTAAAGCATAAAAACTCAAAACAAATCTCACTATTCATAAGTTATGAATAATATGATTTATGTTTTAAAATCCAAGCATTGCACAGGACACATCTAGTTCCATGTCTAGTCGGATAAATTCATTGATACAATCCTTAAACCTTTTCATTGTATTATTTCATTATTTTGAAATTGGGTGTTACTAATTCTTGCACTGACTTCATTGCTAGGACTTGACAGAAAAGCAGAAATCATGACTGATACTAACTGATCACCACGTGGCGCAATTCTAAGGAGACGTAATGATGGAGATAGAATCTGAAAAAAGTCTTTATCTGGAGAGACAACCCGTACCTGTCATCATCGTAAGACAATTAATACCGAGTCATATCAAGCAGGACATTTCTATTGCTAAAGTAGTCATATCAAGCTCTACTTTGAAACGACCATTCCAAGAATATTCCCACAATAACTAGTTCCACCATTAACTAAGTGATAATATTTTACCATCAAACAGCTGTTTGAGCATCCAAGAGTAGAAAACTTGAAAATTTCTATCAAACCTTAAGTCACAATATTATTCAGCAAGCCAAACTGAACATTTTAAGTTCATAACAGCATCAAACTCTCATGCGCCAAAAGAGCAATATTTTACCAGCATCAACAGTCTCACATATGATAAAAATGCTTTCAGGATAAAACAGAGGTTGATGGTTTTGCCAACAATACCAAGTGAAACTTCTATCAGGGCAGACAAGCAATAGAAAGGGGCAACGTAAAGTCACAGAATCCTCAAAGATAATTAAAATATATATATGGTATAGTGAGAGCTGCAGTTATCGCAAATCTAGGTCAAATTCAACATTTCATTAAGATTCTGAACCATGTCTCTTCTTTCTGTAGCCTTTTTTACCTATGTAAAATAAAAACAATACTCAAAATACATGACGATGCAACGCAACCAATCTCCATTGTTCTCCAGAAAATTAACATTCAAGCAACACATGAAAATAGCATGGAATAAGTAAGGAGAAAATATCTTGATGAAACCAAAAGTATCACTATATATAAACTCAATATATAATATGCAAATAAATTATTGAAGCTTTACTTTTCCTGATTTTATTTTCACCAATACTGAAAATAGGAAAAGCAGCCACTTGAGCATTGTATGATGCGTCCAATTTTAGGTTTTTCTGTGGGCCAATTATGTATTAGACACTAATTAACAGCCAATCAGGGGTCTTAAAGACCAAATATAAGTGGAAAGCACAGGTTTTGACCACCAATATGAATTCATTCTTGAACTAGAAAAGTGCAGTCTTCATCTGGCAAAGAAAACAGTATTTTCTCATTGTCCCAACAAGCCTATCAAGTTAGGGACTGCACAGAGCCAATATCTATATCTCCAAATTATCAAGAAGATTACCTTGTATCCAGCATCAACACTCCTTAATGCTAATGTTCCAATCACATCATCTGCTTCTACACCCGGTACCTGTCTTAGAGCATGTTTACATCAACTAAAGAACACCATGGATGTCCTTTTGAGAAATCTAAATCAACAGCCTATACTTGCCTCGATGACTTTTATGGACATGGCCTTGATGGATGCTTTAAGGTATTGAAGTCCCTGAACAATGGTATCAGGTGTTGGGGGACGATTACTCTTGTATGAGGGGTATAGAGTATGCCGAAAGTTTAGGCCTTTAAAGAAAATGTAAATAAAATTAGGATGCCATATGTCAAGAAGCTGTTACTCTGTCAGAACAAAAATTCCTCCAGAAAAACATTGTCAATAATGATGGTAAAGGTTCAATTACTGAATTGTCCATTATACTAAGATTAATTCAATGCATAAAGCGAACCAACACTCAGACCAATTTGAACTGTGGCACCAAAATGACAAAAGTGCAGGAAACATCTAAGTCGATCAAGGCCATGCACAACCACATCAGATCTTGCAGTTCTAAGCATAGAATATGGCCCTCAATGAAGCTAAAACAATGTCTATAAAAAATAGGAAAAAAGTCCCAGGAAGGCCTCAGTTGAGTTAAATTAATTTCACCTAAGAAATATAACTGATAATCAATCATTCTCCAAAAACTACAGAGCTGCTTTCTTGACATGTCCCTCAAATAGTTGAGCTTGTCATCTAGAATACTAAATTATGAGTAAAATAGTGTTACCAGAATGAATGGCCCGAGAAATACATCTCTACAACAACTTAAAAAATCCATTCTATGTCACCCATATATAGCCACTGAAAAGTTAACATACCTTTTGAAGTAAATCTTTCTTTTGATGAATTAAAACTATGACCAAAAGGAATTCCTGAAAAGAAAAGGTTTTCTATATTAAAACTGTACACGAGTATGGCCTTGCAGACCAAAGAAGCTAAAAATACAAGTGTGGAGAAAGAATTTAAAAATGAACTTAACATTCTTAAAATGGTGATGAGACACAGTCAGTAGGTCAGTAAGTTCAAGAAACATTTTTGCACTCAACTGAAGTTAAGGCATCAAGCATTCCGCCTAAAATGATTTTCTTTACTAATCGCAATAATTTTCATCTCAACACAACATCACAACCTTGATTATTAGTTCAGTCAGGAAATCACTCAATTCATCAATACTCAGCTGATCATTTCAAGCAGCAAAAATGAAGAAGGAACACTTTTATCTTCAATTTCTAAACTGCTCCAGAGAATTTTTTTTCCCCCTTAAGAATAATCATGATTCGAGTTGCTACACTTTCCCAGTACATTTGTCTTGATCTATCCTAGTTAGAAGTGTATATTGCACCAAGCTTGCTTCTACATAAGACCACAGTCTAGCGTAAAGAAATTATGAAACATAGCAGACATGTAAGGCTCTAACACTAAAAATTATAACACCTAACGGTTGGCTTTTTGTGCTGTTTGATACATTAAGGATTACAAAATGACGCTTTTCCACACAAATCTTATTAGCATAGGTGTTGGTAAACATATTAGTCAGATATGATAACAGAATCTGAAATTATAATTTATTGACAACCGCTCACAGTTTGTTCTTAAAGATATTCCATGTCTTACTTTGACAAAAAGAAGTTGTAATAATAATAACTAATAACATCTTCCAACTTAAAGCTTCAATTTTTGCATGACCAACCATCAAATTAGTCCTGATTGTTAAAGTTACATCAGCATCAATGCAACAGCCAACGAGTCACAAAATGATATATTTGTAGCACTCAAACATTGCACCCTTATCAAATAATTGATTGAGCCAATGATACCTCAGATTCTGTCTTTCTAATTTGATTCAGATGTTTGAAACTCCTTAGATTGTCTGATTATGGCAGAGCATGAAATTGTATTAGCAGAAATTAGATGCCAGAATAACTTAATTTGGGTAGTTCAACACAATTATTTTTTATTATAGGTTTCCCACCGTCATTAGTTTCCTAGAACAACTTCCAAATACATCAGCAGGAACTTCAAAGGTAGTAGATCTCCAAGTATCAACAAGACACCATACAAAGGTCCATTATCCTTATGTTCAAGTGCAAACTCCTAATTAATAAATTTAATACATAGAGAAGGGTCAAAATACAGCCACATGCAGAATGCCAACAGTTCTGGCTAGGTCAATTAAAAGGACGTTAAGTAGCTTGAACTGAATTATGTGGTGCATGTATCACATGAAAATTAACACCTGACTGAAAGAATCTCCCTTAGGACAATGCAAGAGTATTCATATGGGTTTCTTTGGCAGATTTCTTACACCCCCAATCTTTTCAATGGAAACTGAAGCTTCATTAAATCAAAAACGAGTGAACAAATACAACACAGTACAAGAAAAAAAAAAGCAACCAAGACCTATTATCATCCCCCACCTCCATTGACCAAGGTGGGGGTTGATCAAAGGTGCAAGAGAAACTATCCATAGTATGGGTATGTCTAACTAGTCTCTCAGCCTGAGTAATATTTTCTCTATATACAAAGTCGATTCTACATTCCAATCTCCGTTAATCAAAACCCTAGCTTCCCCTGTGACTTCAAGAGAGGTCCCACTAGCTTGTCCTACAATCAAATTAGTGGCCTGGATCACACTCCCAATTTCAAACTTCACACATGCTATTAATTCTCTTTCATAGTTTATCCCTGTCTTGCCCTTGAATTTCTGTCCATGTAAGTATTTGCTGTCATTGTCGTCAACTTGTCAGTAAAAATATCACTAATTTAGTCAACATAACCAACGAAAACTAGATCAAACATGAAAAGATCTATGGGAGAGTTCATAAGGGTACGCACACAAGCCTAACTAGCAACAAACCAGTAACAATTATGGATGATAATTCCACCCCCAAAATAATGAGAAAGCATAAAAAACCATCAACAATGTGTAGAAAAGATAAAACTTTTAGAATGACAGGGGATCCAAGAGAAATAAACATGCACGAAAATTTATGACTCACCATCATGGTCAAATACCACCTGCATGCAAAGGAAACCAAATTATATCAGCATCGCTAACGGATTAGAATGAGTCAGAGAAAGAATGTTCAATATCTTGTAATAAAAAGGGAGAGAGTAGTTGTGCAAAATTTTAGGAAAATACTTGCATCTTTTCCTTTAAGATAAAAACATGATTTGCCACTAACATACCGCCACGTGGGAAGGAATAAATTCCAGGACATCAATTATCTGCAATAAAGATAAATAAGGATAATTAGGATAAAAAATGACAAACTGTGAATTTATAAATGATTTCATCATGATTTCTATAGAACTTAAAATAGTGTTGATAAGGAGTAAATGATATTCATCTACATTTCAGGTGCTCAAAAATAATTTAAAAAGTTACAGTAATGAGTAAATGAAGATGAAAAATATTTGCCATCAGCAGCACCAAAACTTATCTATCCCAAAAATTAGAGCCAAATATAAAACAACTTCATATAAATATAGCTTACAAGTGATAGAGCTGTAAATATTGTCAAAACCCAATCTCCATTCCCGTCAGCATCCGTCAAATGACCGTGGTGCAACTTTGCTATCACACAAAAGAAATTAATGGCAATCAACTGCTTAAACTTAAAGTCAAGAACCCAAGCAAAAAGCAGAACAAGAACAATGCCGTTTTAATCAGTGAAAGTATATATAAACCCAAAATTTTAGCAAACAGTTCAGAGGTCACATTGTTATTATTCTTCTATAATAACATGGTTGGTGCCTCTTCAAACCATCGTAGAAAAATACAAAAATCACCATATATGCATCTCCAAACAACTTATTCAGCAGATGCAAGGTAAGTCAGCTATAAAGCTCAAAAAATAGGGAGAAATGTGATTTGGCATGACATCTTAGGTTTTCAGAATGGTGAAATCTCCAGCCATATGGTTGGTGATTCAACATGCATTAGCATCAAAAAAGCATAATCTTAAAGATAAAATCATCTCGACATTTTTGTTAGCTTTGATTTTTGATGATGTTAATAATAGCCTTATTATCTTAAAGATTCATCCCAACAATTTTGTTAGTTTTGATTTTTGGTGATGTTAAAAATACTCCATAACCTGATCCCACCTAATGAGATGAGAGTTGTTGTTGTTGTTGTTAATAATACTCCATAACCAAAACCACTTAGTTAGAGGCCCAGAAATGATTAGATCAACATCTCTGGAAATTTTGAATTTTTTCCCTTACCAGAATGATCTGTTTTATGAATGAGAAAAGAAAATTAACCAGGTCTTGGTTGTGTGATCCAATCAATCCTCGGTTTCTTATATTCTCCTTCATCACTATTATGTTTCCTCTAATTTACTTTGCTACCCAAAACCTATTTTCCTTGTCAAAAGCATCGTACATTCTATGCATCAAAATCTTAATTATTCCTTACCTTAGATTGGGTGTCAAACCTATCAAACCCAAAACCTTATTCTGACATGTTAATAGCCCTTCCTATATAGTACTGTCAACGAACCACCAACCAACCAATTGTCTACCTCCCATTCACCCTCAAAACCATTGTTTGCAAGCTAATACACCCTAAACCCTCCCCCCTCTTTCCTATATCAGTACATCAGCCAGTCCTATGTAATATTCAACAAACCCTAAAAGATTAAAAATGAACAAACTGATTTATACCAAGTGTAAGAGAAAATATCAACAAAGAGAGTATGCATTAAAATAGGCGGCACATACCTAAAAGTTTGTAGTAAGCCCTATATATTATTGATGTGCCATCAATAAGCATGACTCTACCATTCATTGGATCAGTATTTGCTGCTCTTTCTCCAGTGTTAACTGCACCAAGCTGCACAGCTTGAACTGACTCACATCTACTTTCTGAAGATAATGTCACATTACTCTGACAAGTTGTGCGAGCAACTCCAAGTGAATCTGAACTTGCATTACTTGATGCACTAGAATATTTCTAATAAACATGAAACATTAAGAAATGAAACAATTTTAAAAATGAATAAATTGGGCATGTAAAAGAACTAGCTGCTTTTTACTTGCTTAATATGTCTGGACCTTTGAAATTGGCCAAAATACTTTATATCCCTCTTCTTAGCTCAATTAATAAGAGAAGTCCTTTCGTGAAGATTTTATCCAACTCCAGTTTTAATTTAGAATCCTTGAAGATTTGTGCAGCCAATGTATCACCTAGTAATGGTTTGCAACATGATCATACATATATAATGATGAAGTATGAACTTAGTTTGCTGAACCAAATTCATTCTTTCAATTTCCAAAATCAAGAAAAATTTCTATGAAAATAATGTCTTTTCTCAACCATACATCACAAGCTTCGTAATTGAAATATATATACAATATAGAAATGTTTTTTTCCTGGATATAGAGGTTTTACCACTCTAACTTCACTGTCTTCCCAGAACCAAAGCCCAACAACACATCAGCCATTAAATGTGAAGAAAGCGAGCATGGTTCCCTCAACCCCCACTTTTTTTAAACATTAACAGCACAAAGAAATGTACTTTAAAAAAAATTAATTTTGAAATTCATTACTACTGCTTTCAAATGACTAATCAGGAAAACTTTGCACCTAGAAAAGCAGCACCATTTCAGTGACTACGATAACTTACCAAAGCACATTATACTCTATACTGACCTTCAAGGCTAAATTGACTGAAGAATGAACCAGCTTTGATCCTTTAAAATTGTGGAAGTAGTTCCTTTCAATGCTTGACAAGTTTTTTTCAAAGCATGTAATGCCCCTCCAAAAGGAATGAAAATGGACAGACAAGGATCGATAGCATGCCATTTATAGAAGCACTGAAGGTGACACTGGCATAGAAAAAGAGCTTCTAGATGATTCCATAACCTGAAACTTCATGTTGGACTTCCATTCATCAAGATAAAGAATGATGGTTGAATACTGTGAAACACCTATCTAGTTAATTGTTTTGTGAAAGTGTTATTTAAAGAACAAATCATACACATGACCCCGAGAATGCAACACAAGTTCAACATGGCCCACCAAAAATAGGCACAAGAAAGCCCAAGCTTCTTAAGGTGCTCAACTAATTAACAATGCTAGGTATTCAATGAGTCAGAAAATGATTAAGCGTTGAGTTGGACTCATTTGTCATCAAGAACCTAAACTTAACAAAGAAAACTTCTGGCAGTACTTTGTATTATAATTGCTTATCCATTGGCCACCATTAGCATAAGGCTTCACATATCAATATCACAATCTCTTTTCTTTTTATCTTTAAATCTAGGACACCAGATTTAATATCAAATAAGAACCGGAATCACGAATATTATTACTTAAACATCATTCAGATCAGGATTATAAGAAAATCGAATTGATCATTCATTTTTGAGGTAATGAAGCCATAGGGGCGAAAAATATATTGTGAAAGTTTCTTTTTTCATCGATGATGCTTTCTTTTCTCTGGTAGAGAAGCAGAAAGATGATTAATAAACAAGGCTTAAGAAAACAATGTCGAAATGAAACTGCAGGTGAGATTATAAGATATTATTTGACACAATAGCATACCAGAATCATTTAAGATTCAGAATTCTAATCATCCTAAAAAAACAAAAGCATAAAGCCTTGCTTCCAATCACATTCGGTGAAATGTTTCGGGAAAACACATTGAAGCCAACAATGAATCCCAGGAACCCGCCTAAGAGAAAATACAATAAGAATTACTAGAAAGGAAGTGATTAGTACAAGCTTAATAGTTAAAAGTGGAAGTACCTATGTTGTTTAGTGGTGATAGCGCAATTTCTTGCAGTGTTCTACGGTTGTAGTTACGTTGCGTATTATCACACTGATTCCAAAGCTACTTAGCTGTTGAGTTGGCAACTAAAACCACTGTGAGTAAAACGGAAAGCAATTAACAGAAAAGGAACGGGTTTTTTTTTTCTCTTTTAGAGAAAAAAAAATAGGGTATTTGGAATAAGAAAAAGATGAGAAGACAATAAATCGAGGTATAACGCTTTTCGCGTGTCTGGGAACGAAAAAACTTGCATGAGCATGAACGCAGCCGTTAAGAGTAAAAGAAATGTCGGATGCTCACTGCTAATGGAGGGATACGGCTCTCGTGCTCCGCCCGGATAATGGGGGGATGGGGATGGGGATGTGGGAGGGAGAACTTGTCGAGGGAAGCACGTGAGTTGCATGTGGAAATAATTCTATCGAATTCCTCTTCCTCGTGAGCCGTGGTTCTTTAGAATTGGACACGGCTTAGATTCCTCGGCCCCGGAATTCATCAATTATCCATAACTAGGGCATTCAAGTTGAACACAACCCGACTGATCCGTACTGACCTGTGTTTGTCACAATCATATTAGGAATGGTCTATCCAAATTTAAAAATAATCGAGACGGGACTTTCATGAGCAAGGCCAAAATAGAGACGGGACGAGCCTTGAGCCAGTCATCGGGACGTCCCGTTTATATTAAGTATATTTATTTTTTTTAATTTAACCATTATTTATTTATTTTACTTAAATTGATTTTTAATTTTATTTCTAGCTTTATCCCATTAGACACGAGACACACACGGCACAGACACAAGTCTTTCATTTTGAATTTCATTTTTCCCTTTCCAGTTTCCATCTTTCCTTTCCAAAGCTCCAAGCCTCCACCCTTCTGCTGCAGTCGCGCAGCCACAGAGATAGAGCAGACCTTCAGTCCTTCCAACGCACAAAGACAAGAGCTGCACAAATCGCATAACTCCATGCCTCTGCCTTCAGGACCTCGACCACACCTCCGTCTCCACCTCCACGCGACACGATTGCAAGGTATTTGCTGCCTGCCTCAACCTAAATCTCCACCCAAATCTCTGTCCCAGGCTTCCAGCTTTGCCTCATATTTCCACAGCTATTATTCTCTTCAACCCATATATGGTGCTACCTCAAATCCATCGTTCTCCTCCTCGTCCTTAGATCTGGTGCGTTTCATTGCTGTCTTGTTGAATGCTGAGAAATAAATTAATAGGGATGATTGAGGTTGGCATCTCAAGTTGATAAAGTAATGCCCATGTATATCCTCTTTTATGCTAGTGCCTCTATCTAGTCCACATAAAATATATATGCCCATGTATATCCTCTTATGTGCGTGAGATTTCACAGTTCCATTGCCAAAGGCAAATACTATTTATATTTGAAATGTGGTGAATTGTAGATTGACAAAAGTAGATACTTCATTACAAATGCAATATATATATCCATGTTTTAATTAAGTTGATTATATTAATTTGCATGTTGGAATTCCATTTAACAAGAACAAGAAGTGGTGGTGCTTCCAACCGAACCTATTACATGCACAATTTTATTTGCCTCCTCTGGATTAAGTAAAGCAAATATTGACCATATAAATTATTTAAGTATTTGGTTACATAATTTAGATTATTTGCATGTGTGGAAATTTAATGTCCTTGATTTTTATGCATGCCTATTTGAATATTTAATATGAGGTTTTAATTAGTTAAGGGTTGTTACTGTTGCTGCTGTTGGCCAAATCTACATTGTGAAGAAATATGGCAACTACACCCACCCTTCAAGAAAATGTTGAAACAATAGAAGGAGATCCTAAAAATGCTTCATCACCTGATACTAAAGAGGGAAATGAGTCAAAGAATAAAGGAGAAAGTAGAAGAAAGAGACATAAATCAACTGTTTGGGAGCATTTTGAAAGGTTGCCGTCGGACAAAACTAATAGAGAACCTTGTGCTGAGTGCAAGTATTGCCCAACAATAATTGGTTGTGACTCTACAAGACATGGGACAAATGGAATGGAAAAACATGTAAAAAGATGTCCCAAAAATCCGAACAAAGCAAACAAGTTAGCATAATCTTTGCTATCGGGCTCTCAACTAGGGTCATCTAAAACTTTAAGCCATCATCTATTTAATCAAATCAATTGCAAACAAGCCATTGCTATATTTATGATATTAGATGAAATGCTTTTTAATGTTGTGGAAGGTGATGGTTTTAAAGAGATGATGAGAAGGTTATAACCTCACTTTCAAGTCCCTTCAAGAGCAATAGTTACTAGAAATTGTTACAAGTTGTACCTTGAAGAAGCTATAAAGTTGAAAAGGTATTTTAAAAAATCTCAAATTCGTGTTTCCCTCGCTATTGATACTTAGACTTCCAATCAAAATGCCAATTAAATGTGCCTAATTGCTCATTGGATTGATGAACATTAGACATACCAAAAGCGAATCTTAAATTTTTATGTAGTTGAAAACTATAAGGGAGAAACAATTACCCAAGAGATTGAGAAATACTTACTATTTTGGAGCATTGACAAGGTGTTTACAATCACAGTTGATAATGCTTCTTCTAATGACACTGCATTGGCATCTTTAAAGGGGGTCTTAAAATATTAGAATGGCTTGGTTTGTGATGGGGAGTTCTTGCACTTGTGTTGTTATGCGCATATTTTAAATTTGATTGTTTCTGATGGTGTGAAGGATATGCACAAGTGTATTGAAGGCATTCCAAATGCCATTAAATATGTGAGATCTTCTCCATCAAGGTTTTGTAAATTCAAAGAGCTTGTGGAAAAAATAAAAATTGATTTAAAGAGTCTATTAAGCATGGATTGTCTAACTAGATGGAATTCAACTTACATAATGTTGGAGAGTGCAATTAAATTCTGCAATGTTTTTGAGAGGATGGAGCAGTAAGATAATGATTATAGGAACTTCTTCTTGGATAAAAATTTGATTAGTCCCCCTCATGAAAATGATTGGAAGGATGAAAAAGATTTTATGGTCTTCTTAAAGGTGTTTTATGACATCACTTTGCAATTTTCAAGATCACTTTATGTGACCTCAAATGTGTGCTTTCAACAGATAGTTGATGTCTTTTCTATTTTATATGAAAGTGCAAACAATCAAGATTCGTTGTTTTGTGACATGGCTAATAGTATGCTAACCAAGTATAATAAGTATTGGGGGAACTCAGAGAAACTTAATCTTTTGCTTGTGATAGTAATGGTACTTGACCCAAGGTATAAAATGAAATATTTGTAGTCTGCTTTTAAGGATATGTGTCTTGATGCTACACAATGCGAAGCCATAACAAAAAAGGTCTCAGATGTCTTGTATCGTTTATATGATCATTATTCAATTGGGGCTGACACATCTCAGAGTTAAAGTCAAAGTCAAAGCCAGACACTAGCAGCAAGTGAAAGTAGTTTAACTCAATCACTTGGATCAGATCGTAGGCCCTTAACTTTCTTAAGTTCTAGGTTTAGGAATTCTTTCCAAAGGTTTCTTCCCTAGAAAGAGACTGAGATTCAAGCAAATAAGTATGCAGAGGTAGACAAGTATCTGCAAGACAAGTCCTTTTATTAATTGCACGTGATGTGTTAGCCATACATGTTTCCGCTGTGTCTTTAGAATCTGCATTTAGCACAGGAGGTCGTGTAATTGATGATTTTAGGAGCTCCCTATCTCCAAAGATGGTTGAGGTACTAATTTATGCCCAAAATTGGCTATCTTTGTCAACAGCAAAGCTAAAAGGTCTTGATGCGAGTAATTTTAATGATACAAAGCAAGCCATGCAAGGTAATATCATTTTTTATAATTGATTAATTATTTTAATATGATTTAAATTTTTATTTATCTACATTTACTAATTTTTATTTATATTGTGTTTATTGTTTTCTTTTCAGAAGAATCATTAGCTTCAAATATCTCAGTTAAAGAGGAAGAACAATGACTTGAAGTTGAAGTTGAAGTTGTGCTTGGGGCTTAAGTTGTTGATTATTGACTTGTTGCACTTATTGCTTAGAAGTTACTTGTATTTGTTAAATTGCATTTTCTGAATTGTTGTTATTTTTTGTCTTATGAATGCTACTGCTGAAATGTTGTTCTTAGACTTGATTTAATTTGATTCTCTGTTATTGCGTTTTTTCCTTTAGTGGGAAATCTTAGGATTTCCAAAAGCGCGTATTTGTTCTTTGTTTTAGGAATGAATGCTTCTACAAGTTTATGCTATTTATAGCTAATTAGTTCTTCTCTTGGCTATGCTTTCACTTTTACATGGCAATTCTTCTAGAGGACTATTAAATTTTCACCTTCATGTTCAAAGGTAACTGCTTGAAACGCTTTACGAACTATAAATGTAATGCATATTTTGTGATGATTGAGATTTTTAGTGGTGTAGTTTTTATTATTGAAATGAATGTTGTTTTTTGTAAAGTAGCTTAAAGCAAGAATTTGTCTAGCAGCATATGAAGCATTAGTTTTTGTTCTAAGAGCACTAGCATCTACAAGTAGGATTTTTAGAAAGAACTTAAAGAGCTATTTTGTTAGATTGGAAGGTACTATTCTCTCTTTATCTTTAGTTATAGTTCAGCTTAACATTTTGTGATTGGGGTTCCTAATGACTTAAATAGGATTCGGGACGTCCCGATCCCATTCCGGTACCGTCCCGACTCCTTTTAGGATGGGACGGGACGAGATACGGGACCAATTTTAAATCTCAATCATTTTTCGAGATGGGCCACAGGACAGGGGTGTCCCGGTTCCATCACATCCCATGAACACCCCTATCCATAACCCCATGTTTGGTTGGAGGGAAAAAAATTTATTAAGGTTGCATTTAGATGGATAAATTTAGGTTAAAAATTTAAATTTAAAATCTTACATTTAAAATTTATATATTTTAAATTTTTTATTTAGATGATATAAAAAATTTGAATTTATAATTTTAAAATATTTTATTTAGATCTTAAATAAAATTCAAAACAACCCTTAAGGATTAAAACATGATAATGATAACAATCTGAGGGTTGCAGATTGGACATGGATTAGGATACTAGAACATTCCATATTAACAAAGGTGTTTGGCATTGAACAAGGAAGGCGGACGGATAAAAGACAGTGATCACAAACCGGTCTCAGACAAGACGACAGTGATGGATATACATAGGTTGAATGTGATAGGCCAACACCTAATGGTGATAGCTGATTAACACTAATTGATGGCACTAAACTAACATTGAATGATGACAATGACGACAAATCTACATTGGGCAAAGGGAGGGGATGGTCCCAGTTGACATTAACGGTTCAGTCCTAATCGTTGCTGGTTGTCTGATCCACCCCAATTGTAATTGGTGATTCAATTTGACTGTCGCCTGCAGTCTAATCCCAGTCAACACCAGCAATCTAATCCCAGTCAACGTTAGCAGTTTGATCCCCATAGCAGTGATGTTAAAGTCAAGAATGTAGTAAAGTAGACGAACAAACAAGAAGGAAGAGAGAAGCTTCTATTGAAATTTGAAATAGTAAGGCCTTAGAGAGAATTTAAAATTACAAAGGGATTCGAGTAGGATTTGGATTTAGATTTTGGTCAAATCAAAATCTACATGCATCCAAAATACTCCCCCCATCCCTATATATGAGAGGTTTTCTAGAACCTTTTTTTGTCCCTAAATATAAGATGTTGTTAGCATATTTTTTAATCAATGGACCATTATATCCCTATTAAATTGGAAAAAGAAAAAGATATGTACTATTGTTAATTTACCTTGAAAAAGGAGATTCATTTTGTATTTATAATAATTAGGGCAAAAATTGAAATGTTATTGTGCTTTTAATTAGATAACTGATTTATGTGATTCAATTAAAAATATCTTATATGTAAGGACGGAGGGAGTATAACATAAAATTTTTCCTCCCCTTCCCTCCAAAACCTCCCCCTTCTTCCCCCTCTATTGAGGGTCATTTTGATCATCTAGATAAAAATTTTTATTTTTTATATTTGTTAAAAATTATAAATACAATAAAATAAGATTTTAAAATTTTTTAATAAATCTACTTGACCATTGATATGAAATTGTTCTCATCTCACACATGCAATGTAGGTCTTTACTTTGTGTCTTTGTCAATGTCAGTTCTCTCCTTTCTTAATTGGTGGCTTCTATGGTGCATGGGTATCTTCAAAAACTTTGCGCAAAGGAGTAGGTGTTCATTTGTTTTATTTATTTCTATTTTCTTTTTTTTAGCCTACTTGTATTTCTAGCCTAATCAATTTTAATATGTGTATTAATATAGGTAGTAATGAATAAATTTGACTTTAGTTTTTTGAAAAAAATATCACTGATATGAGACTTTTGATGGTTCATATTTAATTTTATAATTTTATAAATAATTATTTAGATTTATTCTATATAGATTAAATTTAAAAATTTTAACTTACAAACTTTGTAAAAAAATTATTCTTTTGGAAAGTTCATGTTAGAAGAATATTGTTTTTAATATTGTATTTACAAAAATAAAAATTTATATTATTATTCTTTACCATCCAAAGCATATCTAAATAATCAATTTTTAAAAATTATAAAAAAATTAATTTACCAGTCCTTATAATTTCATCAGGTTTTGAATCAAGTCCCTCTATTTTTTTATTGGAAACTTATAATTTACTCAGTCCATTAATGATTGCTTCAAACGTTGTTTTCGCATATTGATAGAGAATGAGGTGGCATTAAAGAACATGACACCAATTTTTTCCAATTTTGCCTTCTCCCCCTTTTTTCCAATATGTAAAAGCTTATGGCTCTCTCTCTAGAGTGCACTAGTTTGACAATGCCGACAATGCTGAGAAGGAGAAGAACTCCTAATTCAATTGGTTCTACTTTTCCACCAATATCACTAATTATGTGCTAGCTTTGATTAAGGACAACATCATTCATGGATTGGGGTTCGACATTCTGATGAGGGGCAGAGGCAATAGCCATCATGATTGTTTCCTTCATTTTTTGGAATGAGGTTGTATCAAGTATTTAAGTAGGTGTGGTGTCCATGAGAAAGCACAAGGTTGTATTTATACGAGACTAAGGGCATGGACACTTATAACATCCTAGAAATTAACCTTTTGTTAATCAAGCTAATCAAAGGTAATTAAGTATATTAATATGGTGTGTAGTCAAAGGAGGCTAATGCATGTATTAGGTTATAGTTTCAGCCTCATGTTCGGGTTCGAAGTGAAGTCGAGTCACTTGGACCTTAAAAAGGGAGAAAAACAAGGAAAAATAACTTTATGCCATATGCCATAGCTAGTACATCACGTGTCGCGATGAATGAGCTAGAAAATGCGAAGGGCGCATCTCATGACAAGCGCTATGGCACACAAACCAAATATGACAACAATAAGGTTGAGTTTCAATTCAAAAAATAGAGAGAAAAAGAGATTTGAGCAATAGAGAGAAGGAGACACCAGGGGCTCTATTAGGTTTGAATATTTAAAGTTTAGGGAGCATTTTTAGGACTTCTAAACATATAAGGTAAGTATCACAAGCCCTCATCTCATTTTCTCTTCTTATCTTGATAGATTTTAGGTCAGGGTTTGTATTAGGGAATTTATTTTCAGCCCATAAATGTTATAGGTGTGAATCCATTGACTTAAATGAAGTTAATGTAAGTTGTTTAGTGATTTTAACCAAAGATTAAGGGTTTTATATGTTCATGGTTGTTGGTGGACATTAATGTCCAAAAAGGCTACTAAATATGGTTGTTGGAGTTGGTTAAGAAGCCATTAATAATGGTTAAGAGTTTAATAAAGCTCATAGGAGCTAAAGGTAGCTAATAGACCCAATAAGTACACCTAAATGTTAGAGACAAGGGTTTTGGGATATCTTAAGTATTGAAATAAAGATTTTAAATTGTATAAATGGTGATAATGATGAGTTTGGTTGTGATTAATTATAGATTAATCCCCCACGCACCTATTTAGCTTGAGCAAGATTTGGAAGCATTAATTTGAGAGGTAAATCTTTGACTATTTAAAGGTTTAAGATAACTGGACGAAATCTTTTTAATGTAGTTGTTTGTTAATTAATTTGTGTTCTCAAAAATGAATTATTGACATGAATAATTGAATTGCATTATCGTGAATATGTGCAAAACATGCAAGTTTAGATTAACATATTTGGTTATAAATGTAATGTTTAAATTTAAAATATTTGAAATACTATAATTATGTTTTGAAATAAGAAGTTGACAAGTTGATAAAATGATTATGTTTTTGTATTAGCTTCAAATGCAATATATGAGTAAGGTTGAGAATATGCAAATGTGATATGAATATATAAGGTTGAGAATAGAAATTATATGTGATAAATGAAGATAATTATGATGCTCACCTGTGATAGCTTATTGTGGGAATTCAATGAGCTTGTATTGCATATGTAAATATGTGAAATGAGTGAGTATAATTCATAACATGATTGTTTTTTACAGGACTTCACATAAGGAGAGGAGTAGCTAAAATCCACATAGCAATGGCTGCCAATCATTGGAATCAAGAGGTATCATGTTTTATTATTTATTGAGGGACTATCCCATTATTTATTGAGGGACTTAAACTTGGATAACTCCATCAATTTTTCAAGGAGATTAGCCTAAGGTTTACGACACCATAGATATTCAAGAATAAGGGAAGCCATGACCTGAGAGTGAGTATAGTGATCTTTAGCTGAGTTACTCCTTATGATTGGTGAGCGTAGGTAGTTCATTCACACGGACAGAGCCCTATTTAAATTATAGCCCATGATTTCAATCGAAAGGTAAAAGGAGGATATAAGGATAGTTAGATCATACATTTTTATCCAATATCTCACATGGTTGTTAAGAGTTTGCCCTCCCTTTTCTCAAAGTTTACCCTCAGGTATCCTTATTGTGGTAGAGAGTGGGACCTTCTTAAGCCCAATTTACTCAAGATAGGGTATGCTAGTAGTACAGCTATCCCCAAGCCTTCCCAATGATCGAATTACCAAGGGACATGGCATATCATGCATCCGCCTAGGTTTAATCCCACAATCTCTCCTATAAAGTGAAGAAGTAGGCAACATTAGTACCTCTA